ATTTTAGTGTTTAATTATGAAAAGTCTCAGGTTGTTTTCTAGGATAATACCTTGACTTCTGTTCAGTTACTGTCTCATGGCTGACTGTGGCTCTTTCTATTGGCCAATTTGTTTATTTATTTATTCGCCTTCAGCTTCATTTAAACCTGTTTGACCTCTTACATCAGTGTGTGTGTGTGTGTGTGTGTGTGTGTGTGTGTCTCCTCACCTGCTGTTAGATTGATCTCATGTTCCCCAGCAGCATGCTCTCATGTTAACATCATGTAGCGTGTTGATGTTCCTGTGACGCCTCCACAGTGAAGGAAGGCTTGAGAGAGGTATAACAGAAGAGCTGAGGGTCACACAGCAGGGGGTCTCTGGTGGTGTTTCTGCTGTCACTCTCTCATTCAGACCCCTTATCAGTTTTTATTTTTGCCCACGTGTTGTCCACTTTTTTTGACTTATTTCTAGCTTTTTTCTGACCTAACGCCGATCCAGTTTTCAGTATTTTTGCACCCTTTCTGCCGACTTATTGTAGATTTGTTGGCGATTTGTTGGCGACTTATTTCCGACGTATTGCCCACTTAATGCTGCCTCTTTGCTGACTTATTGCCCCCTTGCCGGGTAAGATACCTATAGTGTATTGGTTTAACTGTAAGATGTTTTATAATCTTCACCCCTCCGTCTGTCTCCATGGAAACATGACCTGTAAAAGATGTTAGTGTGTGTGTGTGACCTGTACTCGCCTCACACTGGTGTTATCAACACGGCGACCAGATGGTGCTGCTTGGAGACGGTCGTCAAGGTGACCCCTGAGACCTCATTCATTTCACATCACACGTGTTTGTTCTGCTGCCCTTGTGGGGACCGTATGGTTTTACTGTCCATACGGGGACCGACCTCAATGTGATCCAGAAATCACCTAAACAACAAAAACACCTTCATTAGTGTGTTTTATACCTTCTGTAGATGAGAGGTAGTTATATATATATATATTTATACTTGTAATACTTTTAATATCTTGTGTTTGTGGACATTGTTGAAACACGGAGAAACATGTCTTTATTATTATTTTATTGAACTCCTTCAGAGGGGCTGCCATGCTCCTGCAGAGGATTGGGTTGTGCTGAGCTTTATATTTAATAATGTATAAATAATAAAGCAATGTTTTCTGATTCCTGCAGAAAGAGTGGAGTCGTAAATAAATAAAAACATTGCAGAGATGAAAGAGTTTCTCTTCTGATGGTTCATCGATCTCTGGTTTAGCATCAATGCTAACTCCTGCAGAGAAACACAACAGAACTTTACTCTACGGACTTCCTGTCTGCTGCTCCTTCAAAATAAAAGAGGGACTTCTGGTCTCTCTGATCCTCAAACTGAAACTCCAACATTTGTGTGTGTGTGTGTGTGTGTGTGTGTCCGAATGTGTGCGTGTGTGTGTGTGTGTGTGTGTGTGTGTGTGTGTGTCCGAATGTGTGCGTGTGTGTGTGTCTCTGTGTGTCTCTCTGTGTGTGTGTGTGTGTGTGTGTGTGTGTGTGTGTGTGTGTGTGTGTGTGTGTGTCTCTGTGTGTGTGTGTGTGTGTGTGTGTGTGTCTCTGTGTGTGTGTGTTCCCCTCAGGCTGAACATTAACTCTGCATTAGCGCTGCTGCTAACGGCGCGCAGAGAGGAAGATCTGAGACATTAAACCTCCTCATGTCTTCATGTTTCATTTCAGGGTTCGTCTCTGCAAAGGAAATCATATTGAATAAAACACAGAAAGACAGAAACATTAAAGCATCGGGTCGTTTCTGTAAAGGAGATCAATCAGATCTTTGTTACTAACATATTCATTTTTTAAAGGATTATTAATATAATATCTATAGTATTGTGCGAGTTACTGGACTCCAGAATAAAGATACTGGTTTGGGTTAAAGTCGGTCCGTTTCTCAGGTAAAATGAGTAGTTTGTAAGAAAAGTAATAATGAAATAATAACTAGATTTAATATTTAGTTGTTTTTAGGCTCTTTAACACTCCGGGTCAGTGAGAGTGGTTCTGGTTCAGTGAGACAGGTTCTGGATCAGTGAGACTGGTTCTGGTTCAGTGAGACAGGTTCTGGATCAGTGAGACAGGTTCTGGTTCAGTGAGACTGGTCTGGGATCAGTGAGACAGGTTCTGGATCAGTGAGACTGGTTCAGTGAGACTGGTTCTGGTTCAGTGAGACTGGTTCTGTTTCAGTGAGACTGGTCTGGGATCAGTGAGACAGGTTCTGGTTCAGTGGGACTGGTCTCTGATCAGTGAGACAAATTCTGGATCAGTGAGACAGGTTCTGGTTCAGTGGGACTGGTTCTGGATCAGTGAGACTGGTTCTGGTTTAGTGAGACTGGTTCTGGATCAGTGAGACTGGTTTTGGATCAGTGAGACTGGTTCTGGATCAGTGAGACTGGTTCTGTTTCAGTGAGACTGGTTCTGTTTCAGTGAGACTGGTCTGGGATCAGTGAGACAGGTTCTGGTTCAGTGAGACTGGTTCTATTTCAGTGAGACAGGTTCTGGTTCAGTGGGACTGGTCTGGGTTCAGTGAGACTGGTTCTGGATCAGTGAGACTGGTTCTGGATCAGTGAGACTGGTTCAGTGAGACTGGTTCTGGTTCAGTCAGACTGGTTCTGGATCAGTGAGACTGGTTCTGGATCAGTGAGACTGGTTCTGGATCAGTGAGACTGGTTCAGTGACACTGGTTCTGGATCAGTGAGACTGGTTCTGGATCAGCTGATGTCTCCATCTGGTCTCAAGCAGCTATAATTAAACGTCTTGACCTCTGACCCCTGTGAGTCTCAGTGGATTAAATCTCAGTCTGAACTTGTTAACAGTGATAGAGTGCCACAGTCTTTACCTGGTTCTTTAATACCCCATTCACACCAACGGTGTTTCAGGGCCGGTTCGGAGCTGGTGCTTGAAAAGCACCGGGTTTTCCTGTTCACACCGCAGCGGAGCCGCCTCTAAGCTCCGGAATCCGGTTCGTTTCGAGCACCAAAAAGTTGTCCGTCTAGAAGCAAGAACCGCATACGTCACGCTTACGTCGGAGGGGGGCGAGATTAACCTGAGCTAACAGTTAAGGCGAGTACGGCAAATAAAAGTTGTAACCAGCAGTAGTGCTGAGCAAAGTGACTAGAACGCAACCACACACTTGTAAAAAAAAAACACACTTTATAAAGTCAGGCAACACGAACCAGGCTTCGTGTGATTCTGTTTATTTGTACCTTACTTTGACCATCCGTTCGCTGTTATTGATCATTGTGGAGAGCAGGCAGACGTTTCGTTTGTTATTATAGCAGCTATCGGATGGAATCAATACATGGGCTGCACAGGTTGTCATGTCCGACTATCACAAGTAGAATCATAATGAAAAATACGCCGGTAAAAAGTGCCTGTAGAAATCGGCTTAGCAAGTAGTCAGTTTAGCTTCGGTTGCTATGCTAACATCACCCATGTTATACCAGAGAAACTTTCATAACAGCGTTGTGATGCCAAACAGCGTCAATTCAGACTGACACACATTCACTGAAGGGGAACTGGGGATATGTATCAGCTGCTTGTGTGACAGTCAGACAGTGAATAGAGCCGTGTGAGCTAACCCGGAGCTAACGGGAGAATACACTCCCGTGGAAGAGCAGCCAGCACTGCAGCGGTCGCTAAATGAAACACATTAATAAACAATGAACCACGGCACTCTGGAGAAAAGTATAAGGTTGGAGAAGTCGTTATTTAATTTAATCTGGCTTCGTATGATTAAAAGCAACACGATCATCGACCCGACACAGTCCCCGGCCCGTTGTTGTTGTTGTTGTTGTTGTTGTGAGGTGAGCTCCGGCGTTGGGGAGAAACTCAGCGACGTAAACTGTGACGTCATGACGCAGCAGCGGCAGCTCTGGGCGGTGTGAACAGAGCGGGAGCAGAACCGAAGAACCGGTTCTGAACCTGAAAAGCTCTAGCACGGAGCTAGAACGGGAAAAGCCTTGGTGTGAAAGGGGTATCTGACAGGTCTTTACCTGGTTCTTTAATACATGTAAGAGGTTCTAGGGGTCTTTACCTGGTTCCTTACGACGTGTAAGAGGTTGTTTAAGTGGTTCTAGTATAATTCATTAATCATTGTGACGTGTAAGGGAAAAATAAATATCTTCATGATGTTGTTTGTTTAAAAGAGATGTATTCATCTCTCTATTTATAACACACACACACACACACACACACACACACACACACACACACACACACA